AGTCATGGGGGCTTGTCTTCACTGCAGTTAACGGGGGCTCACTCAGGTGTTGCCCCTAACCTGGCTCCCACACACACAAACTCTCTCACTCAAATGTGGTGGTGCTTGAAACACAACACCCATCCTGGACTATAGGCTAAAGCCTGACCACTGCTTACATTCAAGCTGGTACCCAGTGCCAACTGCCTGAAGTAACTCTGCGGTGAGGACATACTCTGGGTCTTGCTGTGCCTCAGTTCCCCGTCTGTAAAATGGCGATAACGGCACTGCCCTATCTCACAGGGTGTTGTCCGAATAAATACATTAAAGACTGTGAGATGCTCATATGTACAGTGATGGGGCCACAGGAATACCCCGGATAGACAGACAGTATGTAGATGGGGTAGGCAACTCTTTGCAAAGTGCTGCATTAGGAAATTCCCAGACACAAAAGAGTTCAAGTTCAGCATGGGAAATAAGAGTGTTCATCCATCTCCCCTGTTTTTGGCAAGCAGGCACTCCCTTTATAGCCATACATATGGACAACTAAATACAATATACTGTTCAGAGATAGTCTCCAGCTGTATTGGTTTACAAGGCTGGCAGTCGATTGCTCAGGACTGGCCACGGCACTGGTGCTTTACTAATCAAGAACAAAACAAGCTAACAAAACTCCCACTACTAAAGCCCAGCTGCTTTGCCCCTGAGCTTGGGTAGGCGAGTTCATCTCTAAGGGGTTTGTGGTTAAGGTATAACAATTTGGTGTGTATCTTGCCCTTCCTCACTGCAAGCCATCAAGTAGTTTTGTCTGTCACACAACAGAACATCCCAGTTGGAAAAAGCTCTGGTACCAATAAGCTGTTTTATAGCCTTGCTCAGGAAATGCTGTCATTCTGTACTTGGTTGCTTGCTTCCAAAGACCACACAGCTGTACTTCGTATAAATCCTCTTAAGCGCAAAGCTTTGCATCGCTTTTTCTCCATGCAATAACCCCATAAGTAGGTCACATACTGCATCAGACCTGGATCACTACTGACTTTTCCCCCAGGAGTAGAGCATGCTTCCTGCAGGGGGAACAGGACTGGGACTCAAACATGCATCTCCTGGCCATGGGGGAGTAAAGAGCAGCTCTACAGCTTTACCCCAAAGCCTTTGCATGCAAAGCATACATGAAACAGAAGGCCAAATTCTCTGCTAGTACAAATTGGCACAACTCCATTAACTTCAATGGAGATGAACCAATTTACGCAGTCTGAGAATTTCAGATTGGAGTGGGGAATCACTGTGAACTGATGTACTAAAAATATGAATACTTTGCATTTGTATAGCCCCTGTAATCCAAAGATCTCAAAGCAACTAAGCCTTAAATAGTTTCACAAATGGAGAATCTTAGGTACAGAATATTTTCCCTAGGGTTGCAAAGAGAACACTGACAATCAGTGGGCAAGCCAATAACTGTTATTAGTATGTAATTATTTATATTGCTGTAGGCCCTCAGGGACCAGGGTCCCATTGTGCTAGGTGCTGTACAAATGCATTAACAAAAAGATAGTCCTTGCCCCCAAAAGCTCACAATCAAAGTAGGAACAGGAAACGGGGGAAGAGATGGGGGAAGATTCCCAATGCCCTGCTCTTAACTGCTAAACCTGGATGTCTCACATACATCTGAGCAAAACTTAAACACATACTCCCTGCAAGGAGCTTTTTATCTCAGTGATATTTCCTTGTTGGAATTATTCTACAGAACAGAAATAGGACTTTTCAGCTTGGAAAAGAGGAGACTAAGGGGGATATGATAGAGGTATATAAAATCATGAGTGGTGTGGAGAAAGCGAATAAGGAAAAGTTATTTACTTGTTCCCATAATATAAGAACTAGGGGCCACCAAATGAAATTAATGGGCAGCAGGTTTAAAACAAATAAAAGGAAGTTCTTCTTCACACGGCGCACAGTCAACCTGTGGAACTCCCTGCCTGAGGAGGCTGTGAAGGCTAGGACTATAACAGGGTTTAAAAGAGAACTAGATAATTTCATGGAGTTTAAGTCCATTAATAGCTATTAGCCAGGGTAAGGAATGGTGTCCCTAGCCTCTGTTTGTCAGAGGGTGGAGATGGACGGCAGGAGAGAGATCACTTGATCATTACCTGTTAGGTTCACTCCCTCTGGGACACCTGGCATTGGTCACTGTCAGTAGACAGGATACTGGGCTGGATGAACCTTTGGTCTGACCCAGTGTGGCCATTCTTATGTTATTATGTTCTATGTTCTTATCCATACATGCCATGCAATATTTAAAAACAAGCAAGAACCAAAGAAATAAAGAGTGCAATGGCCTTTATGAATTAACCAGCTAACACAAGCTACGTTTAAAGTCAGCACAAAGAAGTTATTGCACATTGGTGGCTCAAACTGTCCAGCATACATAGACTGCTCTAGGCACGGCAAAGAGAACAGCATTGGGATGCAGTTTCAGGTAACTGCTGAGCTGATTATGTCTGTGAATTGGACTCTCTTAGGGCAAAGAGCAGCATAGCAAGTACCGAGAAAGCAATGAGCTGGTAGGCAAGCAGCGTGCTGGTGAAGAGACATCGTCATGCAGCTGCTGTCTCTGCAAGTTCATCAGGCAACAAGGTTAGAACCAAGTGGAATGTTCCTGCATTGTGCCGTCCGCCCTTGGAATTTAAAATACTGGCCACCTACATGAATTACCTACCCAGGCCTTTCCCCAAAATAAATAACAACATTAATTCCACAATGACTGGGCTAGAACGAGATGCAAAGACAGTCTGGGGGAAGTTATGTGAGATGAATTCATACACGACAAACTGCATCAGAGACAATAAATGTATGTTTGTCCAGCACCTTTAATCCAGAAGGATCTCAGGCAATTTACAGACTGAATTTACAGACTATACAGCGTTCACTCACTTGCCATGAAGTGCAGCCACTTCTGGGGTGGAAAATGGTAGCTGTTTAATAGCCCACAGAGAAGCGGAAAAATACTGATACACTTCCCCAGTTTAAATTAGAAAGGAGACTATTTTGAGCAAGCAAAATGCCATTGCCCACATTGAATTGTAGCATGGATTTTGGTGTGGACACCCTTTCCCCATAACAATGTAAGGGCACTGCCTTCTCTACAGCTAGGTATAGCCAAGATTAGTTTGCAGCAAAGCCTTCATCTTGAACATACAGTCCCAGCACACAGATAGCACAATCACCACGTTGAAATCTCACATCTAAATAGGAATTCTACTTCAAGCCAATGTGCTTCCCAAAGACTTACAGGAGTGGTCTTGTATTTGCCCAACTGAGAAGTCTGACTCTCTGTGGGTCCAATCCTGCAGTGGCTTCATGCTTGGGACTCCCACTGAAATTAATGGAAAAGGGACTCGTAACAGGGCCTTGGAGCATGTGCACATCTCAGTACACCTTCTGCAGCCCTTTGAAACTGGAGCTGTAGTTGCAGCTCCCATGCCTGCTCCCAGCCACACGCCCTAGAGGGAACCACACATAAAGCTTCCGGCCTCCTGGGCACAGAAGCAGATGGGCGGGACCCAGAGTCAGGGAAAGCGCTCTCAACACCTGTCAGGGCAGGAAGCAGGAGCTGGCTGGAATGAAAATTCAGCCAGGAAGCCCTGGAAGAAGGGTTATAAGGACTGTGAAGAAACCTGAGGGCTCTGAGGGGCTGGAAACAAGGGCCAGACAAGGCCCTGAAGGGCCGCAACACCAAGTGGGACACTTTGTTCTGAATCTTGGTTTCTAAGGTCAAGAAAAATCCTGAGCAAAGGGAATGAAGTGGTGCCATTGCTTGGAGCACAATTTTCCCTTCCCCAGCTGGTGGTTCAGCCCACCAGCTCACACAGCTACTCATACCCAGCCTCTGCACATTACATTCATCTCAGGAAGAGAAGGTTGTTTCATCATTCACGCTGCCCAAAACAGGTGCCACACTAGGTGAGTCAGAGGCTCAGCTCTTCTCTCGCCAACTTCTGCACCACAGCGTGAAAAAGCAATTGAGCTGCTGCAGCTCTTCACTACCACATGCTCTTCCTGTTGTGGCTAAGCGACAGCGCATCTGCGTCAAATCGCCGCAACAGGTAGACCACTAACAGAAGGGGAAAACCCACATGAGGAAAGAGTCCCTGACACAAGCAAAATGACACACAGACAAACACACAGTGTTCAGCGCTGCGATTGTAAGATTCTAATCTAACTTTTATTAAAGCATCAGAAATTCTAGAGGCAACACCAGAGCTCACACACGCATAGCCCTTAACTCATCACCTCCATCCTTCCCCTGCTCCAATTTGTCCTGAGCGCCTACTGTTTCTCTGAACAAATGAACTAGGTGGGGTTAAGGCAGGGTGATTGAAATATTGCAGAACAGCTGGAGACAGGAGAGTGAGGTGATCTGCACTACTGGCTCCAAAAGGCGTAGGCGGCTCTAGCCCAGAGTGGATAGGAGAGTACATTTCAAACCCAGCACACAGCTCAGCACCACTGACAGTGTCTGCTCAGCACTGACAGCACAGGAGGTAGCTTAGCAAAGCATTGCATTGCTAGAGAGGGATGGGGAAGCTAACTTCACCGGCCTGCCTCACAGCTGGCTCTAGCAGTTGTGGTCAGGCCTACAAAATGATTTCCCACCCATCTCCACCAGACAACAGCCAGTTCTTGTCCACTAGAGGCAGGACTTTCAAACACACTAAGCACTGGTCTAACTCTGCTCTGACTGACTTCTATAGAACTGCAGTTTGGCCAACACTGAGTACTTTTGAAAATCCCAGGTTTGCTGTGGCTAAGGTATGCCAGATGTTAGTTTAAAAGACTGCATGTCAGAGCTTGTAATTCGTTCTTTGATTAGAATTCTGGACAGCCTCCTCGTATTCTGCGCTCTTTGGTTTGCATCTTAACTGCCCTGATACAGGTGTGCCTATAAGCTGGATACAGGGAACAAGGAAAAGTTATGGTACCCAAAGGCATTCATTTTTAACTACTAGGTAATAACTTAATGTTACCCATTGTTCAGTGTGTTTCACATTCCTCCCCCTCTGTAGCTGATCCACAGAGGATAACTGCCTGCTACTGCTCCCAGCTGATGGAGTTACTCCTTCGGATCAAGTGGCCAAGATCTCTGGTTTGGTGCTGAAGTTTCTCAGTTCAAACCCTGCTGATGATGCCTACATGGGGAAAGTTGCAACATTTATAAATATTAACCATCACAACACAGAGGCAATTATCCCCATTGTATAGTTGGGAAACTGGGGGCTAAGTGACCTGTGCAAGGTCACAGGGAGAGCCAGCGCTGGACCAGTGATTGAAACTCAGGCATTCCTGGCTCCTAGCCCGGGCTCAGATTACGTCTAATGGCCAGCATAGCACATTAATTGCCCAGAGGATGCTAAGACAGAGCAGTCAGGGGTGGATGCGACACAGTGGGCGGGATTAGCTTCCTCTCTAGTTTACTGGAGCACCCAATACAGTGACTCCCAAGGAAACAGCTCCTTGCCTTCTTCAGCAGCTGATAAAATGCAATGAGGAGAGACACACAACAGGAAGAACTAGGCAGACAAAGTTCATCTTGCTGTTTTAGTGGACATTTCTAAAGGGCTAGATCAAGCCACACAGAAAAAGCTGGGTTTCCAAACGCCCCCGAATTATATCCTGGTGGTGGGGTCCCATTATCTGATCTTAGACCTGGGTCCAGGTTCTGTGGCTTGGGTCCATTTTGCTAACCCAAGGTATCTAAAAACATTTCCGTCAACATCCAGCACTTTCCTCTCCCCCTCTCCTTCCCTCACCCTCTCTCTTAAGCAGACTGAGGAGGAGTTAGCAGCAGGGGGAATTAAGGAGCAGCCCTAGGAGAATCCCCTAGGGTGACCAGATGTCCCGATTTTATAGGATACTGGGCTAGATGGATCTTTCGTCTGACCCAGTATGGCCGATCTTATGTTATGTTAACCTAGGCCTTCATCCTGCACTTATGCGCATGAGCAGTCTCTATAGACTCAAGTCCCTTGTCTAGCACTAGCTAGATCAAACCATAGTCAACAGTCCTGATATTTGAGGCTTTGTCTTCTATGAGTACCTATTACTCCCCACCCCCGTCCCGATTTTTCACACTTGCTCTCTGGTCACCCTAGAATCCCCACAACCTTATCCTTAACAGTCAAATCTAAAGCGAGAAAGCCCTATTATTGGGCATTTCCAGGCTGCCCCCCACCCCTATCATTCACAGCACTGGGATGGGAAACTGGCTTCTCTCCCCATGACTTTCTATTACCATTCACTTCTAGTTAGCAACAAAGCCAGGACACTAGCAAGGAAGAAAGTTAATTAATAAATAATATCACTTTAAAGGCAGTTCTTTCTAGAATCCTGCTATCTCTCCCTTCCCCCCTCCCTTGTTTAGATGTTCTGGGCTTGCTGCTTGTCAAAGGTGCAGAGCACTCAACTGCAGCTGAAGTCCACCTCTGGAAAAAGGCAGGCCCTGAGTGCTTTTCTAGACACACAGTTTCTCCACCCAATCCTTCAGCAGTGGGAGCTATAATTAACACATGCTATAACTAGCCGGCAACACTCCCAGGGGTTTGCAAGAACTTCATTTCTGACTGCATTTGGGCCAAGGATGCATCGAATCTCTCCCTCCCCCAGTTCTTTTCATGCCGAATGGAATTATCTTGGTGGCCAAAGCTTTACAGCTTTCACGGAAAAAGATCCCAGGGACTTTTACACCAAAATGTGACACTGAGCGGTGTGATGGCAACTTGCCAGATGCTGGGAGGCTGCGCCTAAGGACAGAGAGTTGAGAATGGCAAATAAACACAGTGCTAATACCTGCTGGGGCTTGTAATCTCCCAGATAAAGGAAGAGAAAGTATTCCGAGGCAGAGGGATGAAAGGCTGCAGTTTATTTATCACCTTAGCCCTCGCCTTGTGCTTACAGGGAGAGAGAGGCCAGCAGTCGCATTTTAGGAATCCATTGGCTGTATCTGACCCTCCAGCAGTACTTTGGGCGCCCATCCCGCTGCCCCCATTTTCACAAGGAGCAGGTGAAAAGAATACATGAAAAGTACCTACAGCATTGAATGGGACTCTCAGATTTTAAGGCCAGAAGGGACCATAAGATTACCTAGTACAACCTCCTGTGTAACATGGGCCATACAATTTCATCTAGTAATTCTTGCAGCTAGCCCAATAACTCGTGCCTGACCTAGAATGAGAGAGAGTGTGTGGCCCAGATCCTCATGGAATTTAGGCTCCTAAATCTCAATGGTTTTAATGAGAATTAAATGCGTAAGTACCCTGGAGGATCTGGGTCTGTGTGTCTTTCACCTCTAGGTCACTGGCTCAAATCCAGCCAGGTCAGTGAGCTAGGCAAAATGACTTTGGCCAATTCAGTTTGGCTCCCAGTGGATAAATGGCCACACCACATAAACCGTCATCTCAACTGGCGTGAACTGCTCCCCACCCTCACTGACTTGGCACTGTAAGCACAGAGGCCAAAGATCGAATGTAGACTGAATTGCCTGGTTGCACCTAATGGCAGGGCAATTTCAGGGGCCACACTTACAGACCCCTCTTCTCCTGATATGTAGGACTTTACCCTCCCGGGCCGTTCACCTGAAACTTTTCACCAGTGCTCAGATTAAGGTTTGCAATGTTGTTGTTGTTTTTTAAGGATCTGTTTTGATTTAAACAAAACTGTTTGTTGCTGAGAAACCTAATTAGGGGGAGAAAGGAAAAACAATCAATAAAATTACCACATGAATGACTGCTTATAAAAAACTGAAATACCCCATTATTTACACAGCTAAGTCCTTGCTCAACCTCAATACACCTACAAGCCCAGCGGATAAACTGGTAGAACTGAAATTCGCTAGAAGTTTATGACACTTGCATACAAGAAAGGGAAGAAAAAGCTTCTCATGAGTTTTCAAGCACTGAAAATATCACTCTCACACACACACACACACACACACTAGTCCATACCAGAGTCGCCCTCACGAAAGAAACAGGGTGATGCCAACAAGACGCAGCTTCTCCAAACACTGATCTGGACACTTTGGACTTCCCTGAAACACTTGCTCTCCTCCCTCGCCGAGGGCAGGTGCTGACCCGCTTCACACGCAGCACCTGAGAGTTCAAAGCTCAGGAAGGAGAAACTAGCCGGAATCTGGAAGCCTTCCAAGGGAAGGTAGGCTTGGGAGCACTCTTGAAAGGGAAGAAGCTGTTGTGAGGGAATATAGGAATGAGAAGCATGGTTTGGGGGTCTGAGCACTAGACTTCAACTCAGGGCTCCTGTATTCAATCCCCATGCATTTGCTCTCAATACTGAGAGGTTTTCAACCAACGAACTTCTCCGAAGAGATGGGACCTAAGTAATGCGTACGCTTCCGTGGGCCCTCTGTGCAGGGGTGAATTTTACTCATGGTTTGGGAAGCACTTAGGGATGAACAGTGCTCTGCAACCATAAAATAGCAGGATTGCTGTGTGATCCTGGGCACTACACTCAGCCTCTTGGTGCCTCCGTTTTCCTATCAGCACAACAGGAATAATTATCGTGGCCTATCTCACTGAGTGATGGTAAGGATCTATTCACCATATCTATCAGGGGTTTTAAGTTGCTCAGCTGAAAGGTGTTATGGAAGGGTGAAGTAGTACATACCCCCGGGGTCATTGAAACCAATGACCCAAAACATTGGAGGATGTCTTCAATGTTTTAAGCCCTGTGGAAACATCACTGAGATAGCCTAGGTCTGATAAACAGGGAGAACATTTATAAAGGTGAAAAATCAGGCTGAGCAAAACAAATACAAGTGTAGCAGGCATCTCAGTTTTCTATGAAACTCCTGTATCTTGATCTCAGATTGAATGTTGGAGTCGCCTTCCAAAAGCACCCTGGTGATCTAGAAGCACAAATCCCATTGGGTTTTGTGCCCATGGGACTTGAGCACTTTTGAAAATCCCACCCACAAGCCCTTTTGGGTGAGATTTTCGAAGACACAAGTGTCAGCTAGGTGCCTAACTCCCTTTTGTGCCTTTGAAAATCTACCCCCATTGATCTTCAGTGAGATCTGTGCTCCTAAATTGCTTGTGTCTTGCCAATCCTACCCTAATTCTTATGTTTCACATGCAATCTGGAAAATATTGAGCTTCATTATTCATGTGGGAAAATGTGTTGTACAAAGCAGACCCACAGAAGAATGTGTATTCTTTGAAAACTTTGCTTCTTGCCCCGCATTTCAAAGATGCTCGCATGTCTCAAAAAGATGAGATGACCGGAGGACACAAAATCCCTAACACAAAGATTACATTTGTTCAAGAATCTCCAAGACATTCATAATGCACTCAGAACATTCACTGTAAAGCATATTAATTAGATTTTAAAATGTGCATTAAGAAAAGAACATCTAGTAAAACAAAGTTGTAGCTAGCAAGAAATCAAAGAGGGAATGTGAAAGGACAATAAGGCTGATGAGAACTATAAGAAGACAGAGAAAACCCAGTCTCTCTCTAACCTTTTATTCAGGAAATCCCTCTTTTCTCCTGCAGGCAGCACTTTTGAAAGTGTGTTTTGGTACCTTCATCTGGTCCCACTCTGCAAGGTGCTGAACAGCCTCAACTAACAATGAAGTCCTTTGGGGTTAAGGTCACTTGGCACATCACAGGAACTGAACTCCAGGTGGCTGGGGAAAGCTCTGATCCATTTGATCCTTCCTTGCAATGCAGGGAACTGGCTTTCCCCATCTATGCAGCCTTCTGATGTAGCCCTGTCCTCTTACTGGTACGTCCTAGAGCCTTTTTATGTACAGCACACTACTCTAATCTCTCTCTTATGTCCTGCGGTCTGGCCACACATTGTCTCTTACACTGTGACAGTTATGGAAGGAAATATTCAAGTTATCCAATGTCTGTGTCTTCCTCTTACTACAGTCTGTATAGACAACTGAGGCCTGAGGCACAGTTATGGCCCAGAGCCATCTACTACCCACTGTTGATTAGCCTCTAGTAAGCACAAGGTAGTTAGGGTGGCTTTCTGCGCAGATGTGGTCTAGCAAGAGGATCCTTGGGTGCCTGGCAGGAGGGGTGGGGTTTTTTTGCTTCATCAGGCAGGAGTTCGAGCGGCTTTTTTTTTTTTTGCTTCAGTGCGGCAGGGGGTGCGTGCTCAAAAAAATTTT